GGAAACTGAGAATCTCTATTGCTTAATAGGAGAATGGCGCACGCAGGGCTAAACTAAACTAAACTCCGTGATCTTAGCTCGCAAGCGAACTATACCGACCGAGCGACCTACGCTTGTCGGTGAAGTTAGTGCCAACTTTGCACGTAGGGCTATTCAGCATAAATGTCTGACATAAGTTTGCATCTGAAATACTTTTTTGATATGCGTTTTTGTAGCAAGTTTTACCTACACACCGGTCATGATTTGATGTTCCCTTGCATCAGCTCTCAGCTTTGGAAGCCTCAAAACGCCTTTGGCCGGAAGTGACGTTCGGGCTATCTGCCTCTGAAAACGACTAGGTGCCACTCACATGTTGGCCAGGCCGGATACCGCTTACCTAGTTCATTCGTGGGCTCTCCACTATCACAGAAATCCTGGGTACAATTCAGGTCTTCAAACATTAGAGTTGCAATTCAGAGTTCCAAATTCTTTGGCGCAGTCACTTGCAGGCTGTGTCAGGGATCATTAAATCGTGGATTTCCTGTAGAAATAAATTGACCTGTTAAACCGATTTCTTTCGAAACCAAATTGCATTCATGTTCCTTCGGATTACGTTATAGACTCCTCTAATTGCATTAATAATATAATTAACTTCTCTAAGCAGTACGGCAGCCGGTCACGGTAGCCGTGCGGTCTAAGGTATGTACTGTCTTCGCTCGATTGGAAACCGTGATCGTGGTTTCGAATCCCACTCAGGGCATGGATGTGTAGTTTGTGTGTGTGCGTTTTTCTGTGTTTGTGTACAGGTGAGCTGATCACCCGCCCAAGGAGTCCTACCGAATATGTAAGATTAGAAAAACCGAAAATGAAAGGAGAAGTTCATGGAGGTAGGCCCTAGGCCCACTGGGGCTGTAGTGCCAAGGAAAAAAAAAGCAGTACGGCATTGATATAATTACAAAGTTACTATCATTGACATCGGCGGAAAGTATTTTTTTTTGTGCTGGGGTGAGACTGAGTCCACTTGGTACGACAGCCACTAACCGGCCTATTCTACCAGCCCCGGAAGACAGATGATGAGTGTGGAGCAATTGGTGGAATGAAGATTGGCAAGGGAAACCGAAGTTTTCGGAGAAAACCAGCCCCAGTGCCACTTTGTCCACCACAAATCCCACTTGACCTGACCTAGACTCGAACTAGGGCCACCGCAATCGGAAGCCGGCTAATAAGCGCCTGAGCTGTGGCAAGTAAACATTATCTTCGTCACAAGGGGATGTCTTAAAAAGGAATGAGCCTCCTCCAAGGATTATAATATGAAGCAGAATCTTATTTGAAATATTCTTTTTCCACCATTTCCTGTTTTTCCGAACTATACCAAGAGCTGATTACAACTGTCGAACCGAGGAGATTTGATTCGGCAGGTCGAGGTACGAATGAGGTAAGAAGGAGTGCTCGGGGAAGTGGGGGGGGGAGGTTGTTGGAGAGAGACTACAAAACACTTTGTGGTTCTGTGAGGATAAGCTGCTCGTGAGGTTGAATTGTGTTGTAATTTCAAGATGAATTACACGGTCCAGCTCTGTCTCCGTAATATCGCATTGTGTCTGTACTAAAGCAATTAACACCTTGTCCCCGTATTTAGCCTAGAGTCTCTCTATGTTCTGTTCTTTCAACTAGTTTCGCCTTAGTACTTAGGCACGGCAAATTATACCACGAAATAAAATGTTTTGTTGCAAATGTCGAATAATTCTTCGTCTAATAATTCTTCGAGCAAATGATGCTCGAGATGGTTCAGGTTCGTATAGCAGCAGGCGTGACCAGAGTGGTTTGAACGGCTGTTGTACTGCGATGTGGAAAGCAAATGGAAAAACTACCACATTATCACTTTTCCTGGATAGTCTCTTTCCAAAAACAGAAGATCGCATTAAGTGGAGAAACTGTTTTGGAAGAGACTGTGGACCTGTCGTCTGACAGATTACTGATGATGATGATGAATTATGGATTTACATTCATCATTATGGCCGATCACAGAGGTAGCGCAGTCTAAGGCATGAACTGCCTCCACAAGCTCGGACGCTGGGATCGTGGGTTCGAATTCCATTCAAAGCATGGATGTCTGTGTGCGTTTATTTGTGTTTGCGTTGTTCTGTGTGCAGGTAGCGGCCTTGCTACGGGCTGATCCCCCGTCCAAAGACTGTGTATACGATTTAGAAACTGAAAAAGTGGCCAATGTCCAATAAAAAGACTGTAGAGTCATACATATATTCATTATTATGGTGAGAACCTTTGTTCAATCACACATAAATTCTAGACATTCTAGAGGCTGGCTGACTGACTAACTGCTAAATTACTGCTGGACCTCGCCAGCACAGTGAATCTTGGTTTCGAGTCCCACGGGACCCACGACCTCATTTTACTGCCTGACAGCTCTGGTAGCCTGAAACTTCCCTCCTAGAGGCTGACTGTATCACAGATGTCACATGTAAGGAAGGCTAGCTAACACATGACAACTTACTTACTTACTTACTTACTTATGGAGCTGAGGCCTTCTTGAGGAGAAGCCAAATCTGCAGCTACTCAAGAATTTCTCAGCATTTTATGGAACCCAAAGGTTCATTACCGTGTTCACAAGTGCCCTCCACTGGTCCCTATCCTGAGTCAGATCAATCCAATTCATACCAACCCATTCTAGCTCTCTGAGATCCAGCATAATATTGTCCACCCACCTACGCCTTGGTCTTCCCAGTGGTCTCTTTCCCACTAATATCCTATATGCAAATTTCTTCTCCCCCATTCGTGCTACATGCCCTTCCCACCTCATTCTCTTTGTCTTGATCTTTCTAATTTTATTTGGAGAAAAATACAAGTTATGAAGCAACATATGACAACAGCTACATGAAACTAATTTTTCTCATTACAACTAGCTCTTTCTAAATTTTCAAGCAGAGAAATATGTGCTTTTGGGAGCCGTTAGATGGAGCTGTTACTTATCACTTAGCTAGTTGTATCTGCGCCTTCTTCATGGTCTGCCGACTGATGTGTTAACACCGGAATATAAGGAAGTGATATAATCACTTAAAGACACTACCGTCTGTACCAAGAATACAGAGTTATGTTCGTTGCCGGAACAATGAAATCTGAATAAAACACATGACTAATTGTTTGACAGCATAAAGTTAGCTCAGATTCCGTTCTGACAACTACCCGCTCTGCCACACTCTCAGGTGGTTAGCTGCAAGCTGTGATCCCTCTTTACACAACTTTATGTATCGTTTCTAGACGTTTAAACCGCTTTATTTAATTCCAACCGCCATCCATGAAAACCACACACAACTACGTCATACGGAAAGCCAACGACCTACATATACAACATAACTGCTCAACTTTGAAACAAGATTACGTACTCACAGACACATTCCACACTACAGTTTAAGAAATAGCGCATAATTAGGAATTCATCATTCATTCATCAGTAATCTGTCGAGACGACAGGTCCACAGTCTCTTCCAAAACAATTCCTCCACTTGATGCGATCTACAGCTTTCTCCTTCAAATGAGAATATCCTCTTCTGTCCTCAAGGTCATCCAGCATCTTCTTACGTCTTCTTCCTCGTCTTCTGGTCACTTCTATCCGCCCCTCTATCTTTCCTTCAATAACTTCTTTTAGAAGGCAGTTACCGCGTAAAACATGACCAATCCAATTAGCCTTCCGTTCTCTTATTTCATGTAGGATATTCCTCTCCTCACTGACTCTAAATAACACTATAAAACATCATTAGAAAAAGTGAAACGTTTGTAAGTAATCTTAAATAAATCCAGCAACAATTTTGATCTTTTTCATTCACATGTTTGGTACCGTGTTGTGTATGTCACTAACATGTAAATAACTGAAATATTTTAAGTGTCAAGAAATAAGTTTATTTTATTACAATATTTTTGCGCTACATGTTTCGCTCTAAAGGACCTTGAAAATATTTTAATTAACTGATTTATTGATAATTTGATTCTTTTGCTTATTAAAGGTATAAGAGTACATTTGTTATGATCGAAGGACATATTTAAATATTAAATTAGATAAAATTACCCGAGTTTCGGCAACATATCAAGAACAAAGATATTAAAAACATGACAGTCAAATAAGTCAGGTCGTCAGTTTTGATACCTAAATACTCGTAAAATAATTTACACCTCGTTTGTTGCAACCTAACAGGATTAATAGCCTTTAAATCTCTTTATTTATTTATGGTCTATATAGGGACATTGTCAGAAGCTGATGTATATAGGCAAACTGTCGAAGGGTAGGATAATCAGTGAAAACGAGCGATTAGGGCCTAATTTGAGGTAATGTCCGAACATTTGCTTGAGGGACTGAGAAAATCCACGGAAATCCTAAACCATGATAGTCGGCGTCCCGGTCAATATTTGAATTTTTTCCCTACTGAACAAACAAACAAACAAACAAAACAAACTCCCTGGCGTGTAGTCCGCAAGCAAACCATACCGACCGAGCGACCGCCGCTTCTCGGCGAAATTAGAACCAACTTTAGTTGATAGAGGGTGTTAAGTAGTCAGCACAGTGGATCCTCACGGCGGTTAATCTCGGTTTTCTAGACCAGAGACGCTATTTCCTTGAAATAGCTCCTCAAGTATCGTCATGGGGCTGAGCGGACCCCGTTCCAGACCTTCTCAGAAAATCTGGTAGTGCTGGGAATTGAACCCGGGACCTCTGAATCTGTTGGCAGAAACTCTGATCACTAGACCATAGAGGCGGTCTCCCCTCCCGGATACAAGTCGCAAACATTACAGTTCTTGTCTACCGGATTGACAGCCTTCTGATTTTGTTCTAAAGCCAGGAGTATTGTCATGGGCTCTATATTTTATTTTGTTCGTTATTGGGGTTGTGAATTATGGCATCGCTGGCACATTTGTTTTCATCCGTGTGCTTTATTGCCCACTCCAGAACATAATCGCACCACCCCTCCTGGTGTTAATGTAGTGTAACACAGTGTGTGCTTTGCGTGTTGCAGAGTCACTAGCCCAGGAGCTGGAGCTGGAGAGGAAATCGAGGCAGCAACAGCAACAACAACAACAACAACAACAGGCCGAACGGGACGTCAAATCGCCCCTGCAAGGTGAGCAATACAGTTAATGATGAAGCCTACAAATGTTTACGTTTATTTAGCAAAGTTGTCAAAAAATAATGAGTTTCGTTCATATTAAGGAGCTTCTGTGGTGACGTTGATGAATCTTCATAGAATTGTCTCGAAGGTGCTGAAATATATATATAGGGTGTCCGGATGAAATTTATCCAAAATAAAAGATATATATCTCGGAAACTGATTGTCATACACGAATCCGGTTTATGTCATTGGAAAGGAAAACCCTGTACGTTTTTTTTCATACCCGGCTTACGAGCATACGCCTCCATATTTTTCCCACCATGTTAGGTATCACCTGAACAGAGAGATGGCTGGGATATGAATTGGCAGAGATGGATCAATCGCTTGGTCTCCTAGGTCGCCAGATTTAACGCCAGTGGATTTTTTCTTGTGGTGTTATGTGAAGAACATTGTCTACCAGGTTTAAGATCAAAGACCTTCAACGCTTAAAAACCCGCATAAGGAACGCAGTTGCTACGGTAACACCAAACATGCTTCAAGCCTGGATATTTGTCGTTTATATATTAGGCTTAAAAATTCGACTGAAAATAAAGTGACGAAAACCCCCTTATTAAAACTGAATTTAACCCGAAATTTGAATAACTCTGTTGGATTACTGGTATGATATTTAAATTTAGGAACTGCACAGTATCAGTTTATTAACAAATCCCTTCCAATATGCACATCTTTCATATTGTGTCCTTGTATTTCTCAATTATTTACAAACAATCTTTTGAAAAGGTGTGAACAGGATCTCCACCGAAATTAAATTTCCAGCCGACTAACTTTCACAACAATAGAAGGAACTAACACCAACATCCGATATCCGTCAGAGTATGTTAAGTGCCTGGTGCAGCAGAGAGTTCACAAATAAATTTCTGAAATGTATATAAGCATTATTACAAGTAAGTGCTTGGCAATTATGGGTTAAAAAATTAGTCCCGGTGATATTTTAACTACCTTGTATTTTAAATGAATAAATTAATTATGAGACTTACGAATTGTTAGACTATACATGAGATCACCCTGTATATTCGTTTTACTATGTTAGTGAGGGTATCACGCAAATACATACTAACACAGGACAGAGTTTATCCACTTCAAAGAAAACTTGTCTAGCGAAACTCTTTTTTTCCAGCAGTCACGTATTATAAAACAAGTGAAGAGGTTCTTCAAACTTAGGCACTCGACAAGTCAATTGAAACTTGTGTGTATTTCCCCATTAGGCCTGTCACAGTCCCAAGTGCTTGCCGGCCGATGCTGCCTGTTGAATCCATGTCATAATTACTCATCTGCTTGCGTGCTTAGTTATTACAATTTAATGGACCTCTCTCGCCCTTTACGAACTGCCTGAAATGTTGGGCCGCATCTTGCAAGCAGCGTTCAATGAGAATTCCATGCTTTGAAAGGGAAGGGAAGCATTTTATATTTATGTATAAAGGAGTACGTATATTGCGATGACAAGTTTAATATTATTATTATTATTACATTATATTCCTTCTCGTTGAATCATGGTTGGCATGATTGAACTAATTAATTTGCTACTCTCTAAATGATACACGTTTCCTTGTTTTGTTTTTGTTTTTGCATATATATTTGTTCTTTTGTCTCTTTTCTAGTGCTTAATTTAAATTTGCATTTGGGCTGTTGAGTAAACACATAAATAAAGTTGTAAGATTTGAGGCTTTCACGGCGGTGACTATGAAGAAAGCAGTCTTCTGGGATTTGGCGCCGTGTATATGTGGTGTTAACCGACGTTTCGGAGGAACGTATCGCCCCCATCTTNAAAGTTATCCCTAAGCTTAACTAATTAAGCACTACACCATGAAGGCGTATGAGGGAGTGGATGTATAGGTCCACATTTTCAGACCTCGGAACTAGCTGGAGGTGAGTGATCAGCTTCACGCCCCTGCCACTTTAACCCCTGAAAAAGAGCCCCCGGTACACTATTGGAGGGTGGGTGGGCCCCAGAGCTCGTATGGACGATGTAGAGAAGAGAAAATTCTTGACCCTACCGGGACTGGAACTCCGACTCCTCTGTCTTCCAGTCGGTAGCCAGTCGCGGTACCGACTGCGCTATCCCGGCTCCTTTAAGCACACAAGTAAATAGTTTAATTTAATATTACTATCATCAGCATCATCCGATGTCACTGTGGTAACATTTCCTACAAAAAACTATTCGTGATATTAGTCGACCACTTATTGAAACCCTAGAAATATTTATTTATTTCACTACATTGCCAGTAACTGGTGTTATACAGCGTCGGATTATTTGTCGATAGTAAATAATTCGTGAATAAGGATGTGGAAGGAAGTGGTCATGGCCAGGTTTAAGATAATTTCCTGCAGTTTATTTGGAGGGATTAAGGTAACACACTAAACTCCTTGGTCAAAGTAGTCCACGTCTAAGATCTTCTGAATACAGGCCGAAGAGAAAACATCCTCTTTAAGAACATATTTAATGTGTATGCTAATTAACGTCTATGTATATCACAGTCCGTCAATAATGCAGTTCCTCAAATTTCACCATTTAACACTTAACACAACATGTTTAGGCCATAAACGGCCATCTTCAGGTGTCTCACTGTATCGAAACCGCTACACTGCTGTGATATGAGCTAAAACCACGCGCTTCAGTCCACTTAAAAATGAAATAAAAATAATTAATTAAAATTCATTAAAATTTTCTATTAAAATTTTTCTCATTACTTTTGTAAAATCTTATTCTACCTTATATTATGCATCGTCCGCTTGTTTAGAGCTATGTCTCTTATTTCAGATGTTTTATTGCAGCAGCTTGATGCTAGTATTCGGCTGAGGCAGGCACTCAGAATGTCGCCTCTACCCGATTTCCGCATAGGTACCTGCAGATGTAAAGGACATCTATGTTAGTATACGACTGCTATTTGAAATACAGCAGTTGTAATATCCGGCTCATATTTGAAGGGATATGTAGGTTTTCAAGTTGTCACTGCGGTGGTTCTGAAGAATATTATCTTCTGGGACAGAATTCCTTGAATGAAAAGCCGAGCAGGACACGCTGCTTAGATTTTATAAGCGTTTATTGTTTCTCCCATACGTGCGACTTACGTCTTTCATTTCATCGCAGTTTAATTGATCGTCTTATTAATCCCTGTTGTAACTCCTCATTGTGAAGTTTTATCCAATATTTGACCTTTTTTTTTAATTCGCTTAGTGGGGGGTGGAGTTCAAATGGGTCCACTCGGCACGGCGGCCACTGATTGGCCTATTGTAGCCTGCCCCGAATGATTATGATGATGTAGAATTTGGTGGAATGAAGATTGGCGGGGAAACCGAAGTACTCGGAGAAGAACTGTCCCAGCACCACTTTTTCCACCACAATTCGTACTTGACCAGGCCAGGGATCGAACCCGGGCCGCCGCGGTTGGAAGCCAGCGACTAACCGCTTGAGCTATGGATCGGCCTAATATTTGACCATAGTTAATCAATATTAGGAAACCGAACAAAGCAGGAAGTCAATGTAACGTTTTGTAACAAGTGAATTTTTGTGATTTGCGATCTTTAACCAGTCGAAACCTCCAAACTGGAGGAAACCCTCTTGTAGGCTGTTGGCGAATTTCATATTCAATATACTAGCAGCCACCAGTATGAGATATCTCAAGTTTCCCTATGTATATAGATTACTGTGGAGTGCGTATAGGATATTGGTGGGAAAGCCAGAAGGAAGGAGACCACAGGGAAAACCAAGATGTAGGTGGGTGGACAATATTAGAATGGATCTTAGAGAGATAGGATGGGATGGTATGGATTGGATAGATCTGGCTCACGATAGGGACCAGTGGAGGGTTCTTGTGAACACGGTGATGAACCTTCGGGTTCCATAAAATGCTGGGAAATTCTTGAGTAGCTGCAGAATTGGCGGCTCCTCCAGAAGGTCTCAGCTGCATGAGTAAGTAAGTAAGTATATAGATTACTGTATTGACTACTGATATCAAAATACAAGCCGCCATATTTTATATTGAAAAATATACGAATTCAGTTTTATTCGTTTAAATATAAGGAACGTCGAACAGTTTATAATACACTTCACTCTGTTGTGTCAACTTCGTTGTGCAACGCTAAGTGGATTTTCTCGGATTCTTCCTGTTAATTCTCACATTTTTTTTCCTTGGCACTACAGCCCCAGTGGGCCTAGGCCTACCTCCATGAACTTCTCCGTTCACTTCGATTTTTCTAGATCTTACACATTCGGTAGGACTCCTTGAGCGGGTGATCAGCTCGTCGCAAGGCCTCTACCTGTACACAAACACAGAAAAACGCACACACACAAACTAAACATCCATGCCCTGAGTGGGATTCGAAACCCACGATCCCGGCTTCCGAGCAAGCGAAGACAGTACATGCCTTAGACCGCTCGGCTACCTTGACCGGCTAATTCTCACATACTCTCGCAAATTTCTGAACTCAGGATTGTCTGATGAGTATTTTCGTGACAGAACAATTACTAAACTCAACTTTAAAACTGGGTGTGTGTAATAACGGGTTATTTCATTTACCAGTTATTAAATTTAATAATAATGTAATTTATGTGACTATGTATATGCTTTTGGTACAAAGTTCAGTAAAATTCGGATATTAACCTTAAAGCAGGCATTGTACTCGCATAAGAAGTTCCCGGGTTGATCCCCCCTACCCCCACACCCATACCCTCCATACCGCTGCGAACAAGGAAAACAATACTTCAGTTCAGGGTATAATGACTTGATGCTTTGGCTTTAATTACGAAACTGGTAGAAAGAGAAGGACGAAGGCTGTAGTAAAGTTTTGGGTTATACGATGAAATTGCACCGCTTTCTAAAACTCAGATCCTGATGTAGAGATTTCTCTTACAAGTGAGGGCCGATATTATTACACTGAAATCTCACGAAGAAGTCTTCGTCGTTTCTTCCGTCCGTCAACATACGGTTTTAATAGTTGTTGTTTTGTTTTTTTGTTGTCTGTATGTGGGGCCGACCGGCCGATCTTCATCAATCATTGGACGAACCTCCACTCTCGTCTCTTCTCCGTCCCTCTGTCTCTCTCTCTGTCTCACTTCCTCACTATCAATCATTCCAAGACTCAAAAATCGCCCCATGTTTCTGACAGAACCTTGTCCCCTTAATTTAATATCGAAAACAGAGACAGAGGGGTGCCTATCTCTGTCCCCCTGCAGACAGTCCCAATTGTGTGTTATCTGTTGGGGCCTGCATTATGTTTGGCCTTGCCTGTTTACAAGGACATTCGATTGACAGGGTGGATTGGCCGGGCGTCGAACTGATGCAAATTTATCCTTCACACTATGAAAAGTGCCACCTCATCGCGCTTTCTAATTTCATTGTTTTTCTTTCTCGAGGAATGGATACAAGAGTGGCTTATGTGTGGCGATTTCAGATTGTAGATATATTTTGTTTCTGCTACAGTAACAGCTATTTGGGGAAGATGACATAATTATGAACTTTATGGATCATAGCAACATGAAATGTTACTAGGGCGATCACATTAAAGATGATGAGATGGAGGAAGTGTGCAGGGCGTATGGTAGATGTTAGAAGTACATATACCACTTCAATCTGCAGGCAGATCTAGATTTAGATGGTGTGGTTATGAACCAAGTTCATCTGGATGCGCAACTTCTTGTTTCCTCTTCATTTGTTTATTTTTATTTATAGATTAGTTTTTAATTTATTCTTTTTTATTTTAACATCTCTTGAGGCCATTTACTGAATCCTGTAAACATGATAATGATACTTTTTCATTAGCTGAGCAACTGTTAGCTTCTCAAAGAGCACTCTTCTTCAGTGAAACGATTTTATTAATCACTACTATGCTCATTTTCATATGGGAACACATACTTCAATGGCAAAGATTGAATAAATATGTCAGTAAGCTTCCATGGAAAGAAATAAACATCTTTTTTTTTATTGCTAGTGGGGTGGGACTAAGTCCCTTGTACTGCGGCCACTTCTGGCCTATTGTACCAGCCCCAGATGATAGGTGAGGGTGATTGTGGAGTAATTGGTGGAATGAAGATTGGCAGGGGAAACCGAAGTACTCGGAGGAAACCTGCCCCAGCGCCACTTTAGCCACCACAAATCCCACTTGACCAGACACGGGATCGAACCTGGGCCGCCGCGCTGGGAAGCCAGAGACTAACCGCATGAGCTATGGCGCGGCCAATAAACATCTTAGTATTCTTCTATGGAATGGCATAAACACTAAATCGTCTTCTGGTAGGATAATTCCACTGTTAAATATAAAGTTATATTTTTTTGCTGGTGTACGTCCGCAGTAAGAAATGAAATTATCCTGGATATTTTGTTAATTTATTTACATGGTAATTTATATATAATTTTCTTCTTTTGCTACATTTCCTTCTTATCACATAAATAATTTTATTTTTTTATTAAATTTAAATGCTAATGTAATGTATGAATAAATCTCTTTAACATATTTTTCTTAGAAACCTGCAAAGAAATTTTCTTCTCTTTGTATATGTCCATGGTATTGTTAAATATCTATTATTGAGAACCCAGAAGTAGTCACTTTTAATTACTGAGAGATGACAGATAGTTCTTTTCTCAAGGAACTTCTTAAACATTAAACAAATCAGGCTAGAAACTTCGTGTATCTAAGTGAAATATCTCGTGATTAGAATGAAAATTATTAGGGCTTCTATATAGGGACTAGAAACTGAATCCTATTAATTATCAAGATTCATATCTTTACAGTTGAGCACTTTGGATGCTGCTTTGTCTCGACATTCATTTACTGCAGGTCTAAGTTTGACACTTAGGAAAATTCAGTCTTAGGGTACTGAAACACGATATGTTACCATCTAGGTGTGTCTAATTTATTTTCATATGAGGAAATTGCAATTTATATCTTGAAGAAAGCAGTCTTCTGGGATTTGGCACCGTGTATATGTGGTGTTAACCGACGTTTCGGAGGAACGTATCGCCCCCATCTTCAGGGTTGAAGAAGTATAAGTATACAGTCTGCTTGACCGTGTCTCACGGTGTTGTCGCTTGCAGATTTACTTATACTTCTTCAACCCTGAAGATGGGGGCGATACGTTCCTCCGAAACGTCGGTTAACACCACATATACACGGTGCCAAATCCCAGAAGACTGCTTTCTTCAAGATATAAATTGCAATTTCCTCATATGAAAATAAATTAGACACACCTAGATGGTAACATATCGTGTTTCAGTACCCTAAGACTGAATTTTCCTAAGTGTCAAANCCTGTCAAGATAACCATTTTACTGGTACAAAACAGAACATCATACCTTCTAAATGCAAGTCGAAATTGTTGCCCCTATACAAGTCAGTTCAATATATTACAGATAAAATTTCCAAATTGGCTGGGATTATCAGCAGTGCCGATGCTACCATTTTAGCTAATTCTGTCCTTAGCAATTGCAGCATAAATTATTTCGTCGTACTTTCTTATATTCTTATCGTAAAGAAGGAACTGATATTAGGGAGTTTAGAAACGAAAAGCTGATGTGAATGTTCAGATCTCTGAAAATGCAAGCAACAGGAGGACGGAGGAAGCTGTACACGAGGAATTGTTCAGGTACTGGGGAAATTATCTACAATTTATTGAACACAAAATTTCATTACCGTGTTCATAAGATCAGGTCACTAGTTCGTATATTTGGCCAGATCAAATCCAGTCCACACCTCATCACTTTACTTCCTAAAAGTCTAGTTAACGTTATCCTCTCACCTACGATTAGGTCTTCCAGGAATTTCCTTCAGGTATCCGGATCAAAATTTTGTATGCATTTCTATGTACATGATACATCTCCTGCTCATCCCATCCTCCTCAATTTGACCCTCCTGATAATATTTCCTGATGAGTACGCATTATCAAGCATTTCGCTATGAAATTTACTTACCCTTTCCGTTGTTTAATTCTCCTTAGTTCCAAATATTCTGTTCTCAGACACCAAAGTTATATTTCTGTGTATTTTAATCCCTTCACTTTCAGACAGCGCACTGAAAGATAAAATATTCCTAATTGTGTGGTAGCAAGCATTTTCAGATTTTAATTTCCTTTCAATAACTTTATGAACGCAGTTTAGATTTGGCAGTGTTTTTCATAAATATTTTAATTTTGTTATATTTTTAATATTATACGATCGATTAAGTCATGGAGGGGGGCCAGTATCACTTATTTGCGGATATGAGAAAGCCGTATAAAAAGGTTGTCAGAAAACCTCGATAAGATAAAACTAGGAAGACCTTGATATTAAAGGAAAGAGAATATTAAAATATATCTTTGAGGAGCACTCTCTTAAGTTGCGGATTGGATTCAACTTTCTCAAGATGCGGTCAATTAGCGACCTCTTGTGAGAGACTTTTGGGTTACACTAAAGGGGTGCATATCTTGATAAGCTGTGTAAAGCTTACGTATCAGTATTTCAATCAAATTCTTTATTATTAATGTGCCGAGTCAACAGCCGCAAGGCCAATTACAGACACAGCACAGTGCACACAGTGCAGATGAATGAATTACATTATAGACAAACTTATTAAAAGTCAAATACAAATTACAGATAAGTACTTGGAAGAAATAATAATGAATAAAAGTAAAAGTAAAAGTAAACAAACAAATTGCTGATAATTATGACAGTAATAATAATTTCATTATCATTAAACTAAGTGTTATTAAGAATTGAGGAATGAAACATAAATATTTAATTAAGAAATGAATAGTATAAATTTTCTGAGGATAATAATAATATACGTAATTCATTTTGTTTTACTGGACATGCAAATAATAAAAATACTAACAGTTATACTATATTTAAAATTTGTTTGGTGAATGAAACACAAATATTTAATTAAGAAATAAATAGTATAAATTTTCTGAGGATAATAATAATATACGTAATTCATTTTGTTTTACTGGACATGCAAATAATAAAAATACTAACAGTTATACTATATTTAAAATTTGTTTGGGTAGAACATTCCTGGCTCCGAACACGTCAACATCTCTGCAGACAACATTAGCAGCTGCTGCGCATCTAGCAGAGGGACAATTTTTAAATAAGGAGCTAACATTGAACAATGCAAAATCTCTGATATACCGAGCAGGAACTCGGAGACCAACAATTTCCAGGACAGAAGGACAGATAGTATTCCGTGAAAATAACTGGTTTCGTCAACTGCATACGATATCGAAATGTTTAAAATAATGGTTAGCTGAGTAGTTGCTTCGCTTTTGGGGTGAAAAATGGGTCTATATAATAACGACGGTAGTTGTTCCACTCTTCTATTTATGTCTTCTTGTGTATTTCAGAGTCCCGGGCTGGCTACTACAAGAATTCAGTGCTGTTCACTAGCGCCACTTAGTGTGCAATGCCTCAGAGCATTGTGTAACCGTTCAACGATCTCAAGTAGAAGAACAAAACGAGTCATCGACAGCTCTACGAGAATCACAACTACCGACAACTCTGGTGTAGATATTTCAGTGACACGCGCGGAGGCCATCTTGTCGAGTCCTTTTTGTGTGTGCGTGTGTGTGTGTGTATGTGTGTGTGTGAAGTGAGAAGCGTTTACACTAATTTTCGTAAAAATGAAAATAAATGTACAACATTTTAAAGACGTGATTAAATTATAAGAAGAATGATAATCAGTGGGCGCAAAAGTGAACTACATGAGACCGTCCTAAAATTAAGTTTTTCTGGGACGACGCGTATATTGAAGATTCACCGATAAATAAAAGGAGAAAGACAATGAAGAAGAAGAAGGAATCCGTCTTTTTTTTTTCTTTATTGTACAGATTCTCCATCATATTATATGTCGTGGATATCGTGTTTCTGTCAACAGGATTTTGCAGATTTGTGTTATGATTAATTTATTTACTACACCTTCATTGAAGAGAAGATATTGGGTCTGGCTTCAAGACCATTGAATAGAATTGTTCTTGCGTGTTTGTGTATGGTAAATAGACAAAATGAACACTTGTCGCCATGCATGTGATTATTGCTCTCAACAAAAACAAAACAAAAGAATGAATGCTGTTACATACATATATATTATTAATATAATTATTATGAATAATGCTGTTCTACAATGTCTCCCATAAGGCGTTAGAAGGGCAAGATAATGTCGGTGTTTATGAAAGAATTAGATCAGGAAGTGAAGCAGATTAACAATACTATTTAAAACATTTTCATGATCACAATCGTCTTCGATAACTGAATTCTTTTCATTTCAGTTCTGTGTAGATGTAGCTGTGGCGCGGGTAGTCCGCGGTATTTCGCTTTTCCGAAATGAAAGGAAAAGTGTTATTAAGTTAATTTCCCCCGAGTGTGAAAGTAGTCGATAATTCGAGTGATAAAGAAATTTAACGATTATAACATAATTATACATAAATTATTATAATTAAAGAAAGACTGCTTGCATGAGAGTGTGATGGTGAGATTCAGTTTTAGCCTACTATTATTATCATTATTGTCTTTTCAAATGTAGACAAAATAGACTACAATTTCGTGATTTAATATTCAAAGAAAAATCGTGTTTATCCAGTAAATTATGATAAGTGTACAAAACCATGGAATACACGTGTATGGGGGACCTTTCCTGAGTGATTTTTTTTCTCTTTTTGAGGGAAATAATAAAATTTGAAAAGTAGTTTATGTCGTTGATGAAGTGGAAACTACGGAAAAAAGGATATTGTCATGAAAAATACTACAGCAGAACGTAAACAATATAAATATTATATATTATATTATATAAAGAAGCTTCATATTAATAATGAATGGTCGTTATTATATACAACAATTTAATGAAAGAATCTTTGTACGTGTTAGCATTTCATAACAAACAGCTTGGTGCGTGTAAATCCCAAACTTCTTTTGTGAAGAGCGTGGTCCCATGCCCCAAGACTTGATGTTGCACGATACCCCCTCCACTCATTCTAGCTCTAGAACAGTTGTCATTATTCGTAAGGGCGGACATAGCACAGTTTTTAATTCGCGTGGTTAAACTTGACAGTTAAATTTGTTTTAAAATTGTTACATATAAAAAACACTTCCCATTTTTAAAATGTGTATATTCCTGCATAATGGAAGCAGTGACTTGACACATCTTCCTAAGAACTAATGAATCAATGAGGTAATTTTAAGCATGTCTACGTTTGCCACGACGATCAATTATATTCTCTGCAACATCCAGAACAAGAGGAAGTAGCGGAAGTCGTTTTATAGGTACGGAATTCTAATTTCCTCAACAATAGTAACATGACGATTTATATCTGCAGATGAATATAGCAGTGGTATACGACGGTGTGCATGTGTTCGTCCGCTAACACTGGTGTTTTTTTATAAAAAATAAAGAAAAATATGTTTAAAAACGCCATTGCCATATATCGGTGTTAGAATATAGAAATAAGAATTTCTTACTTTTACTTTGCGCTGCCCCTCAACCTACCAGTACTGCTAGTAATAAAATCTCGCTGCACCACAAAACATAACCCACCACATTAGCCACCATACATCACCCTCATTCAAAACACCAGTAAACGGTCCTCTTGACAATCATATTCGGAAAACATATTTCAAAATTTCACTTTTAATGAAATTCAGTGACCTCTCCATCTGCGTCTTTGTCTAATACACACCCTTTACACACAGTGCACAGTGAAATAACAAATTCTTCAACAGGCCACTAGAGTTAAAATCCTTTTAGTTGTGTTACGACTATGAATCCCTTGTGTCATATAAAACTATGAGAAATTGTGGCAATTTCTTGTATAGTACTTAACATTTTTAAGTATAAAATAACCACATACTACTGCAAGACTTTTATAACTAAATGTTTGGGTTATAAAATCTCCAACGATTGTGACTGAAGCTAATACGTATTATTTATTATTGTAACTATTCCCCCTGCACTCTTCATTAGTCAGATCCCTCCAGTTTGGCGAGGCACCTGGGATTGAGGCATGTATATTATTTCATGTGTATAACGTATGATGTATTATAACATACCTAATTAGAATAATGAAAGGCTTTGAGTGAAACACATTGGGACCTAAGCGCAGATACAAATGTTGCTTATTGGCATATGGCAAAGAAGTGGCTATAATCGCAAAATATGATTCAGAGTTTAATACTAAAGCCACGTCACTCAACAATTCGGTAGGATGGAATGGAAAGACAGACGATAAGAGTAGCAAGGGAAGTACCTTCAGGCTGTAATATAACTATTAAATAATATGAGTGCTGATTTAGAATATAAGAAACTTCATTACCATAAAAGAAAAAAGTAAAGTTGTCCTTGTGCTTAACTAATTGAGCACTGTGACATGAAGGCGTATGGGGACTGGATACATAGATCCACATTTTCTTGACTTCGGCTCTTGTTGGAGGTGAGTGGTTAGTTTCACGCCCTGGTCGCTTTACACCCGAGGAAAGAGCCCCCGATACACATTGTAAAGGAGGTTGGGTGGACCTGAGAGGCGATCTAGACCACTTAGAGAAGAAACAACTTTCCTCACCTGGTCTCGAAATCCGACTGCTTCCGTTATACAGACCGTAAGCAGTCGTTATACCTACTGAGGTATCCCGGCTCCAACTTTATCATAATTTATATAAATCATAATTCATAGATATTAAAGGGGAATTACGAACTTAAAATACGCGCATGCGCTGTATGAAATGTCTAACATTTCTGTTCTCAGACTTTATTTAATTTGCTATATATTTTAAAAAAATGAATAAGAAGACTCATGAAATAGCCAGTGTAAACCAATCAACTGCATACATTTTCACAGTAAATATAATATTAAATTAACTTTATTACTACCTATATATTTTTGGTTTCAACCCAACAAGCATGCCTCGGTGGCTCCTTCCCCACCTTCGTTTACTTCACGATGACATTTATATTAGATAAAGCTGTGAACAGGATCATTTCACATCAGCGGGGAAGCATATTAAATGCTGAATGAAGGTGAATAAACTTTCTGGAAATCAAGCGGTTAGTAGATGGCTTCCCAAAGCGGCGGCCCTGGTTCGATCCCAGGTCTGGTCAAGTGGGGTTTGTGGTGGACAAAAAGGGGCTGGGGTAGGTTTTCCCAGAGTGCTTTAAGAAGATGAAGGTAACAAATTTGTATACATAAGGTGGTATATGGGCAAGACGTTGGCGTAGTACTGGGAAGGTACGGGGTTTGAGACCGCGGTGTCTTTTGTCTGTAGAAATTGAAAAGTGAATAAATAAATAAATATGATTTTCTGCAGCTATAAAACAAGTCGTACAATATGAGGAGGATAGCAGAAAGGGGTAGCAAAGATGTTCTGGTGGACTAGAGGTAAGGCACCAGCGTTGTAAACAGAAGGTCCGTGGTTCGAAAACTCAAGGATTTTTGTAGTGAGATTTTTATGGAATTATATAGCGAGATGTAATATAAGAGGAATATTAAAGGTGGAAAAATTTCCGTGGCATTGGTGGTCTATTGGTAAAACACCGGCGTAGTGAAGAAGAGTTGGAAGGTTCGAGACCAAGTATAGTTTTGTGATTTAGAAAGCAAGTTTATTGATTTTTCTGGAATTATAACCGAAGATGTAGCTTAAGAGGAAGAGTTAATAAATTAAATTTCAGTGGTGCTGGTGGTCGAGGGGTAAGACATCAGCTTAGTGTTCAGAAGGTCCCGGGTTCAAACCCAGTAGGATTTTTGTGAAAAGAAAAATGAAAGAAATTAGGAGATACGGTAAAGAGAAGGGAAAGATAGAGGGAAGGACCGGGGTAAGGGATGATTTTTTGCTTTTTTTTTGCGGCCGCTCATTAAGACACCCAACCTAAGCGGGTTTTATTAAAATCCACATGGGATCAAAAAGAAAAAAAAAACTTTGGCCCACCATCCGCCCACCAACCACCCGCCCTTAGGGGGTGACTTTGACTTATTCATTTTAGACCATGTTCTATGAGCGAGAGTTAGCAAGAAAATGTAATATAACTGCAGCGCATTCTGTTGACTAAAACCTCATGGAAAGCCACGAAGTGTAGTTAAAATATATCATCTTAGTATCTTATTGGGCTGTGCAAACCGCTCCTCTGAAGAATTCATTTGATAAGGTACGGCAAGAAGTACTGAGAATGGAAGCGTGGGACCCCGCCCTCACCACCCTCATAATCATGCAGGAAGTTAATTTGTTGAGACAACGATAAATCTGCGAGAGTTAGAAGAAATTTGAAATAAAAGTATAGCGCCATCTGTTGAACATTACAACATCAGTTCAACAGATGGCGCTGCAGTTTTATTTCATATTTTCTTATCTCTCGCGGATTCAGTTTGTTCTCAAGTTATTAACTTTCAGCGTGACCCCAAGAGCGGTCGTGGGTACGTTCCCATGCTTCGCTATCTGTAGAGTAATGTTCAACAGATAGCGCTTTTTATTATTTCATATGAATATAAATACTATGGAAGCGGTTCCATGCTGCGCCATCTTTGGAGTAATGTTCAACAGATGGCGCTACTTTTTTATTACATATGAATATGAATACTATGGAAGCGTTGGACTCCATCATCACCCGCTCGTGTGGTCACGCTGAAAGTTAATAACTTGAGACAAAACAAATTCAGCGATTAAATATAAAATAACTGTAGCGCCAGCTGTCGACTAAAACCTCATGGAAAGCCATGGAGTGTAGTCAAAATGCAGCATCTTAGTATGTTATTGGGCAGTACAAACCGCTCCTCTGAAGAAAGTTAATCACTTTAACATTACTCCACAATTGATTAACTTTCTTCAGAGAAAGCGCCATTACTGGAGTAAGAAGTGAACACTCGAGACGAAAAGCTCATGGAATGCCAAGAAGTTTATTTATAATGTAGCAACTTAGTATCTTATTGGGCTGTGCAAACCGCTTCTCTGAAGAAAGTTAATCACTTCGTGGCTTTCCATGAGGTTTTAGTCTACAGATGACGCTACAGTTATTTTATATTTAATTGTTATCTCTCGCGGAATTCGCTTGGTCTCAAGTTATTAACTTTCTGCGTGACCCCAAGAGCGGGTGAGGATGGAGTCCAACGCTTCCATAGTATTCATATTCATGTGAAATAAAAAAGTAGCGCCATCTGTTGAACATTACTCCAAAGATGGCGCAGCATGGAACCGCTTCCATAGTACTTACATTCATATGAAATAATAAAAAGCGCTATCTGTTGAACATTATTCTACAGATAGCGAAGCATGGGAACGTACCCACGACCGCTCTTGGGGTCACGCTGAAAGTTAATAACTTGAGAACAAACTGAATCCGCGAGAGATAAGAAAATATGAAATAAAACTGCAGCGCCATCTGTTGAACTGATGTTGTAATGTTCAACAGATGGCGCTATACTTTTATTTCAAATTTCTTCTAACTCTCGCAGATTTATCGTTGTCTCAACAAATTAACTTCCTGCATGATTATGAGGGTGGTGAGGGCGGGGTCCCACGCTTCCATTCTCAGTACTTCTTGCCGTACCTTATCAAATGAATTCTTCAGAGGAGCGGTTTGCACAGCCCAATAAGATACTAAGATGATATATTTTAACTACACTTCGTGGCTTTCCATGAGGTTTTAGTCAACAGAATGCGCTGCAGTTATATTACATTTTCTTGCTAACTCTCGCTCATAGAACATGGTCTAAAATGAATAAGTCAAAGTCACCCCCTAAGGGCGGGTGGTTGGTGGGCGGATGGTGGGCCAAAGTTTTTTTTTTCTTTTTGATCCCATGTGGATTTTAATAAAACCCGCTTAGGTTGGGTGTCTTAATGAGCGGCCGCAAAAAAAAAGCAAAAAATCATCCCTTACCCCGGTCCTTCCCTCTATCTTTTCCTTCTCTTTACCGTATCTCCTAATTTCTTTCATTTTTCTTTTCACAAAAATCCTACTGGGTTTGAACCCGGGACCTTCTGAACACTAAGCTGATGTCTTACCCCTCGACCACCAGCACCACTGAAATTTAATTTATTAACTCTTCCTCTTAAGCTACATCTTCGGTTATAATTCCAGAAAAATCAATAAACTTGCTTTCTAAATCACAAAACTATACTTGGTCTCGAACCTTCCAACTCTTCTTCACTACGCCGGTGTTTTACCAATAGACCACCAATGCCACGGAAATTTTTCCACCTTTAATATTCCTCTTATATTACATCTCGCTATATAATTCCATAAAAATCTCACTACAAAAATCCTTGAGTTTTCGAACCACGGACCTTCTGTTTACAACGCCGGTGCCTTACCTCTAGTCCACCAGAACATCTTTGCTACCCCTTTCTGCTATCCTCCTCATACAGTACGACTTGTTTTATAGGTGCAGAAAAATCGTATTTATTTATTTATTCACTTTTCAATTAATATTGACAAAAGACACCGTGGTATAGCGCGTCCCCATACTGCCAACAAGACAAATAAGACGCTGCGAAATTTCATGTAGGAAATCCTCGAGCATCCTCCGTATAACTCCGACCTCGCCCCAAGCGACTTCCATTTGTTCGACCCTCTTAAACATCATCTTTCGGCTGGATATTTTCCCGTCGATGAAGCTGTAGAAAGGAATGTTACCGCCTGGTTCCGACAGCAGCCCAAAGAATTTTGTGTTGCTGGTTTTCAGGGGCTTCTGATACGATGGGACAAGTGCCTCAATGTAAAGGGAGATTACGTTGAGAAATAAAAGTTTTCTTCAAATCAGTACTCTTATTTGTTTAAGTTCTATATACATTTCTAACGTACTTATTGTCTTACCTACGTACACAACTGTACTTAACATTTTAGTTCCCGAAGTAATGCAACAAATCGTAAATATGTTAATATCATAAAAAAATCTCAATACAAAAATTCTTTTGGTCTCGAACCACGGACCATCTGTTTACAACCCCGGTGTCTTACATCTAAACCACCAAAACATCTATGCTACCGCTATCTGAGATTCTCCTCATATTCGACGACTTGGTTTATAGCTGAAGAAAAATCGTATTTCTTCATTTATTCACTTTTAAATTAATATTGACTAAAGACACCGTGGTCTAGCGCGTCCCCATACTGCTAACAAGACAAATAAGACGCTCCTAATTTTCATGTAGGAAGTCTTCGAGCATCCTCCGTATAACCCCGACCTTTCCCCAAGCGACTTCCATTTGTTCGACCCTCTTAAACATCATCTTTCGACTGAAATTTTTCCCGACCATGTAGCTGTAGAAAGGAATGTTACCGCCTGTTTCCGACAGCAGCCCAAAATGTTATATGTTGCTGGTTTTCAGGAGCTTGTGATACGATGGGAAAAGTGCCTCAATGTAAAGGGAGATTACGTTGAGAAATAAAAGCTTT